TATAACGACGGCGTGGACTCTATTATGAGGTCTCAGCACAACCACACTCTCACTAAAGATCAAGTTGGAGGAGATTTACATATATATACTCGACAGTGGTGCAAGTCCTTGGCCCGGACGAATTTTGACCGTTTCAGATCTTATCGACGAAGCAGACTATTCCCATTGAGAGCCTGGCTCCCGCTTGGTGGAGGGGAATGGGGATAGGGGGGGAGGGGGGTGGTGTCTCTGCTCGGGTACGGGAATATCCTCTAATTTTTCAGAAAATAAAAAAAAAAAAAAAAAAATAATGCCTGTGTTCAAAATCGCGGCGGTCCTTGCTCAAATAAGCATCTCAACTGCACCGCTAGGTAGCTAAACGAGATCACCGGCGGCTTAAACAGAGCATGAAACCCGGGTCTTGCCACAAAATGTCTGAGCGAGAGATGTCCCTTTCCCTCCGTCATAATTATATAGGTTATATAGTTATGACATCAGTATAGCCGCAGCCCGAGTTCGCCTCATAGCAGAGCCAACTAGTTGGTTGGACTGTTTACCAGCAAGACAAACAGCCTCGGTGCCTAGGTAGATTTATCATTGAACCAAAGTAGAGGCGTAACCACTTTTCTTCGGCAGACCCTCTTGCCCCTAGTTGTATGGAGTCAGCTCAGACTCGTTCAATTAACGGAGCGCCATGGGGAAATCTCTCTTACCTATTTTTCCAACGTTTGTCTTTTTTCTTCCCACCTCCGCCGCCTGTTATACCGAAAAGAGAGTCCTCCTCCGACGGATCTGATGCAAGCACGGCCGTAGACTCGGACAACAGACATGATTTAGCTTCTTCCACGACGGAGCAACTTGGCTCTTTGTTTCTTCCACAGTGCATGGTATGACAGCCGTAGATTATATAGGAATGCAGCTCCGTGCTGGCTTGCTAAGCATAACTAGTGGTGGAGCGGCGCGTCGTATGGTTGCTTGGGCTGCTCCATACACACCATCCCGCCAGCGAGCGAGGTACCAGAGCCGGCGCTGCGTGGTGCAAGGTGTACTTATACAGGCGAGACCAGGCGAGACCAAAGCAAGCCTCGTGCATGCTGGTCGAGGGAAAATAATATCCGTACATTAGCTCTGGCTCAAGGCACCGCGGCCGTTCATCGAATCATGGCGTGTATCGGCTCACGCCAGCTTGTCTCCTTCGAGCAACGCGGGATGGCGTCAGATAAAGGACACGTCTGACCGATTCTCATATGTGCTGAGAATCTACTGCAACTAACTGGCTAACATGCGGTCGTAGTTTAGCAGCCGGAGAGTTAGACGGTGCACTCTCGTGTATACCTGGCGTCGTGCGACTATCAACGCCGTCATCGTCGACCAGGTTCTGCCGTATATATTAAAGACGACAGGGCTATATTTGCCTCATTTGGACCTGCTCGCTGGCAGAGCCAGGGGACTCGAGCAAAGTCTCAGTGCGGTTTCACGCCCTCGCAGGCCGCTCGCTGTTCTACTGAATGCGTCTGTGAAGCTCAATATCTAGCCCTGTCTGCTGTCTCGGTCCTTGATGGAGGCATTGCCGGCATCGTCCGAATGCAGCCGCCTCTTGGAAGCTCGCGTAACCATTTTGTGTGCCTTTGGAGTGCATAACATTAAAATACGTAGGTTAATGCCCTGTATCCCGGCTGCTTCTGTGCGCTTGAGCTGCGTACGCCCGGCACTATGGACGGGGGAGACCAGGGTGGATGTGCGTGCTTCTTGGTTATGCTGAAACCGAGCTGCTCGGAAGTCTTGACGTAGACGGCAAGTGTTCAAAAAGTAGAAGAGGACATATAAAACCCCTTGAAGTTCCCCCCTGGCAACAGCCGGAGAAACGGCTCTTTTGTTGATTGCTACGTGAAATTCTGTTGAGAACGGATACCTGGGGAACACTGGGGAACAGCAAACCCTGTGGTTAAGAGTCGATCATAGCCAGTGTGGCTGCGTAGAAGGGGGCGTCCCCCGGCTACGAAGGGATACACAGGTCCGACGGGGAGAGGGAGCTAACAGACAACTAATAATATCAAATGGAAGAAAATGCAGTATTTAAGTAATGCGGATAGAGGTAGGCGAGGGAGGCGGAGGGAAAACGGGTCTTTAGGTACTGTACAAAATGATATATAGGACCGCAGCTATCGATCCCACTTGTGAATCTATCAAAACAAGACAAAGACCAAGAAACGGTGGGGGAGAAGTGGGATCAGGTACAAAGGAAATTACATTTGTGAAGAGAGAAAAAAAAAGTCTTCGCGGGGTTGCGAGGCTTCTTTTTTTGTCTTGTATATTTGTCTTCTGTCTTTTTGTGGCGGATTTGTTACAATGGTCTTCTTTCTTCCCTCTCTATTTTTAAGAAGCATCGCGGCTCATGTCGTTGCGGATTCTCTGGTAGTCGAGCATGCCCTCGATGCTTCCGAAAGCACTGACAGCAAGGTCCTGGTCCCAGAGTTTCCGCTGGGCAAAGTCCATGACGTGCTTCTCGGTGATGCCGTCGATGACACGCTCGATTTCTTGTGGAGACAGGCGGCGGCCGGTAGTGACGATCTGGCGGCCGGTGTCCTCAGCCACAGCAGTGGTTCCATCGAGAGAGAGGAGGATGGATGCACGAAGCTGGGCCTTGGCACGCTCGACCTCAGCAGGGCTGACGTCGTATGATAGGCGAGACCATTCACGGAGGGTGAAGTGGACGAGGTCATCAAGGTTGGTCAGGTTCTCAGATACAAGGTAGATACCCCAGAGACTGCACGAGTTAGTACAATACATCATCTATGGTCGAGAATATATGCAAAAAAAATAGAGAAATGCTCACCCGGTATCACTGTAGCTGGTGGAGAAGCTCATGAAGCTGTTGGCCAAGTTGTGGTGGTTGATGAAAGTGCTAAGCTTGCTTCCGAGGTAAGGAGAGTTGCCCATAGTACGATCCCAGTTACCAACAATGGCCTGCGTGACAAGAGCAGTGAAGTAGTCATCGTCCTTCCAGCTGACACCCTCAACTGCGAGAGCAATGTGAGCAGTTGGGACAGTGTCATCACGAATTCGGACATCAGAGCCAATGAAGTCTGGCTGACGCTTCTGTTCGGCGGCAATGGCGGAGGCAGCAGAGCTTGGTGGTTGGCTGGGGAGGTTTCCGAAGTGCTCTTCGGCAAGTTTAACGAGCTGCTCGTGGGGGACACCACCAGCACCAACAAGAACCATACGGTCAGCAGTGTAGTTAGTCTTGATATAGTCGACAAGTTGTTCACGCTGAATGCTGGCAATGTTCTCCTTTGGTCCAAGGATGGTTCGTCCAAGAGGCTGGCCCTGGAAAGCAGTGGCGTGCAGGTGATCAAAGACGACTTCCTCTAGTTGCTTGTCGACCTCCTCTTGCTCTCTAAGGATGACGCTACGCTCACGTTCGATGGCAGCTGGCTCGAGTTTGGAGTTTTGGAGGATATCAGACAAGATATCCACGGTCTTGGGAACATCGGCATTGAAAGACTTGGCATAGTAGACAGTGTTCTCTCGCTATAATGGAAGGAATAGTTAGAGCTTGTCCTCGATGATTTTAAGTTTTGGATATGGTCGGATGATAAGTATGGTATTTAGAGACATACCGATGTGTAGGCATTGAGGTGTCCACCCATGTTCTCAATTTCCAACTCCAATTGGTGCTGGGTTCGTCGATTGGTGCCCTAGACATTGTAAGCATTACATCACCAGCCACGGACCTTGAAAAACACCAACACACCTTGAAGGCAAGATGCTCCAGGAAGTGAGCAGTTCCATTGGTCTGATCAGTCTCAGCTCTGCTTCCGGCATCGATCCATACACCGACGGTCGAGGTCTGAGCCCATGGAGAGTATTCGGTAGCAATCTAGAGGGACAGTCAGCGTGTCTCTTCCATCTCTGCCATCTGAGCCATCGTCCCCAGCTCGATCCGGACTCACCGTTAAGCCATTGGACAGTGTCGTTGACTGCGTCGTGCCAGCGACTGGAGATGCAAAACCTCGCCTGCTGCGCTGGACAGCCTGCAGCGCGCTGCGAGAGCGCACCGCCTGGTGGAAATTGAGAGCGAGTCTCCGGGATGCCATGGCGGAGGATGTGAGAGGGATCCTGGTGGTGAAAAGGTGAATCGGGGGCAGCGTTCGACTGTCGCTTCGTCGTGCCTTTTCGATGAAGTCGTGAAAAGCGAAAGTTGTGAAGTTCAAACTTGCTGTTTCCGATCATCACGTGATATCGGATGAGAAGCGCATTTCTGCGCCCTCTGATTGGCCAGCTGCCACGACATGCAACTCCATGACAGGCATCCAGGGATGTTTGTGATATTTGATACTCGATGCTCGACAATGCTTAGACACAGCGGTAGGGTTCGGTAGCATATGAGAATGGACGTCGAGCAGGTGAGTAAGGCTATTCCGTCAAGTGCACGGCATATTAACCGGGAAACATGCAGGTAACATATAGCTAAGTTAGCTTATGTGAGCCGCTCATCTCCGTGGCAGGCAAAGAATGTATCTTCACCAGCAGCCATCGTACGTGCGTGCACGGGATCCCATGGCTACGAGAGGCTCTTTATGTTCCAAAAAAAACACTCACGCACTGAATCCAGCCTCCTCTCAGTACAAATATACTCGCCCAACATGTCACAAAGTACGGAGTACTGCCTGTCCGTCCAGCTTTTTCCGTACCCTTGAGCCTATTTTTAAGTGGAGAAGGTGTTGCCCCAGGGCCTTGGAACCCGCCTCAGATGATGGCATGATATGCCCTGTTCATTCTCTCAATTTTCTGCGTTGGGGCATATATAAAAGATGACAACGTTCTTTCAATACTATATACAAAGTACGCTTGTTGCACCGTGCTCTTCGGCTGTTATTTACTGCGCCCTAGGATCAGACAGGGGTGACGCCTTGATCCTTTCACCTTTCGAAACTCGCAGAATTTTCTCTCCTCGAGAGCCTGTTTGTTAGGGCGCCTGAAGACAATAGTCGATAGCATAGCTCACTACTTGTCCAGACATGGCGACTACAGAAGAAGGCCGGCTGATTCCGGCTGAAGAGATAACTGAACAAGCACCGTTGCTGAGAAGAGAGGGTGACGAAGGCGTGAGAAACTCGCATCCGCGACTCTCCGGAGCTCGCTCCACGATTATTATACTGGGACTGACTGGTGTCACCTTCCTAAGCTGCGTGTCTAACGGACTTCTTGTCGTCGGACTGCCTGCAATCGCCTATGACCTTGAGCTTCCTGATCATCTTTTGTTCTGGTTTGACTCCCGTAACCCTGGGATTAAACGTCTGGATAGAGTAGATGCTTGCTAACACTCGTGTACGATCTAGGCCAACATCCGTCTATTCGTAAGTAGGATGGTGTTTTGTTCCTCCACGGTATCAAGTAAATCAAAATGGCATCTCTAATAGTTAATTGCTTGTGCATATAGACTAGCTAGCGGATGTGTTCTCTTGCTCGCCGGCTCCTTGGCCGACATCGTTGGTGATCGGTCGATTAATATCTTGGGTACTGCAACCACAGCTCTCGCGATCCTTGGTACGGGCCTATCTCGCACCGGAATGGAGATGATCATATACCGTCTCGTTCAGGGTGTCGGCGTCTCAATGTGTCTGCCAACCGGAGTCAGCATCATTACGAGGTCGTTTCCTCCCGGACCCCAGCGCAACATCGGATTCGCTAGCCTGGGCCTATCCCAACCACTTGGCTTTTCTGTCGGCATGGTTGCCGAGGGGCTCTTTTCAGAGGCCCCCGGAGGCTGGAGACTGGGATTCTATGGTAGTGCCAGTGTCGCACTGGTCCTCACTATATCAAACTTCCTTGTCCTACCATTTGATAACAAACAATCTACCTTTAAATGGGGCGACCTCGTGGGCAAGGTCGATTGGGTTGGAATACTGATTGCTAGCTCTTGCATGGGCATTATTTCCTATATATGCGCGTGAGTATTGGTCTACCTTATTCAAGAGTCAAGAACCGGGCTTACAATATTATCTTGAAGTATTCTCACAGACGACGTTGCCAATATCCAGAATGCCGCTCACATAATACTTATTGTGTTTGCTCTGGCCCTGATGCCAGCATTTGGCCTCTGGATGCATTGGCAAGGAAAGAGAGGCGCACCAGCATTGATACCCAACTCGATGTGGAAGAACACTGTCTTTGTTTCCATCAGCTTGATAGTATTCTTCACTTGGGCTGTCATATTAAGCTCTGAGCTAGTACTGAGTTTATTGTATGTTCAAATCCCCTCCTCTTCGTTGTTTACCTGATAGCCTTTACTAACTCGTCAATGATAGCTTCCAAAAAGTCCAGCTGTTGTCTCCATTTGATACTTCCATCCGTCTTCTGCCCAATGTCATCATTGGCATTATACTCAACCTTAGCACCGGACTATTCGTCCACCTGGTCCAAGTCAATTTCCTAGTCATTGTAGTGTCTATAATCGCAGCAATTGCCCCGCTGTTGATGGCCATCATAGACCCAAACTGGAACTACTGGGTCTGTGCGTTCTGGGGAGTGCTCTTGGGACCAGTGGCTATCGATGGTATGCACGGCTTTGTTCTCCCCTTCCCCGTCGCATTTACACAGCATTAGCGCCAGTTACTGACACATGACCTTCTCCCACCTAGTTGTATTCACTATCGCCCATTTGATGATCACAGATATATTCCCGAGCTCCACCCAGGCTCTCGCTGGCGCTGTGTTCAACACCATCGCCCAGCTTGGAAGCTCCGTTGGTCTCTCTGCCATTGCAGTCATTTCAGCTGCGGTAGAAAAGGCCTCACCTTATCCGGATCAATCGCCCGAGGCCATCATGGCTGGGTACAGGGCCGCATTCTGGGCCTGCTTCGGTACCATGTTGTTTGTTGCGTTCATTGGCCTTGTCGGACTCCGGAATGTGAGGAAGCTTGGGGTCGGAGACGATCACGACCGAAATTAGACACACAGTTGACGAACATCATTGACTCCCAATCTTTTTATTGTTTTGAGGAGTCCGCCTGAAAAATTCCTCTTAATTTCACGGCACGCAACAATCTGGTAGGTCGAGGACCTCCTAAGTCGGGTGCTTTGTCTTTTTCTTCTAACTACTTTAATAAGCTCTTGGTATGTGCTCGGGGTACATAAAACGACTGACATACTTGAAAACCAGTAGCATACATAGAATAGATAGCATGCTCTCAATGATCATATGATTACAACTCCTCTTCAGGAGCAGCAATAGACGCAAGATAATGCATTAACTTGATGAAGATACTTAGGAAGCCACTACTTTAATTGAGATGCTGAAATAGCTGCCGACTGCGCGTAGTACTAGATCATTTACCCCCTGAACTAAAGTCCTCAATTTTTCGCCTCTTAATGTATATCATAAGCACTCAAGGGGCTCCACACAAAACTTGCTACAGAGTTTGTCAGATATTTGAAATATTTATTAATCACTGTGTAATAGTAAACTACCTATCCTTGACTCCATCGGACCAACTTTCGGACATGCGACTCATTTGGCATATTTCGCGCATGCCTATCTACAGTGAAAATTTATTAAAGGCAGGACCCAATACCACGGTTGAGACATCAGCATGGTGATCAATTCTTTATTCTCTCCCTAATCGCCGAAACAACCCCTCCTCCCATCTGAATTCAGCCCGTTCAGTACATAAATACCAGCATTGATCTCTCAGTGTCCGATTCAACCAAAAAATATCCATTTTCCAGAGCTATGGCACCATCAACAGAAACGTTCATTGAGCTGGCCAAAGCCAGGAGATCTGTGTACTCTATCAGCAACGCCAGTACTGTGCCGGATTCTCAGCTTGAACAGCTTGTCCACGATGCAATCAAGCATGTTCCCAGCTCCTTCAATACCCAGACTACTCGTATAGTCCTACTTCCCCATGACGAGAACCAGCGGTTCTGGGATACTGTTCAGGGAGTGTACATGTCCATGGTGGAAAGAGGTACATTTCCCGAGAGCAAGTGGAAAGCCGGCACAAAGCCAAAGCTGGACAGTATGAGAGCTGGATACGGGACCGTAAGTTGATTTGATATCTGAGGGCCGGTATTGGTTACTGACATGACTAGATCCTCTTCTATGAAGACCCAGCGGTGATTCCAGGGATGTGTGAGAAGTTCCCCCAATACAAAGAACAGTTTCCCATATGGGCTCATCATAGCAATGCCATGCACCAATATTTTCGTGAGTCCTGGATGCAAACGACTTATTTGTCATGTTGGGGTTGTAGTTAGCTATTTAAATCCATGCTGACCCTGCTCGTAATCGAAATTTTAGTGTGGACCACGCTTGAATCCCTCGGATTGGGTGCGAGCTTGCAGCACTACAACCCCATTATTGATGCAAAAGTCACGGAAGCTTTCTCACTCCCGTCTGACTGGATTTTAGTGGCTCAGATGCCGTTTGGTGTCCCTACTGCACAACCATCTGAAAAGTCATTCGATCCAATTGAGCCGAGAGTCAGGGTATTCGGAAAGCAAGACAATTAATTTCCATGCAATAACTAGGCGAGGAAGGGTCATCAAACTTTTCAAGATATTTAAGTACAGCATGTTATAGAATCGTTCTATCCAGTACTAATCGTGTCTCGTTAAAGAGTTGTATATCATAATATATATACTGGTATATAAAGAAAAACGCTCAACCAATGATCGGCGCATATTTCCAAACTAATTAGTGAACATGATCCTTTGCATATCGCTTGACGCTTTCCAAGAACGAGATGTCTTCCTTGAATCCAAGTTCTTTGGCCCATGTAATGTCGAAGTTGGGGGACCAGCCTTGGACAATCCTATCAACTGTCTCGTCATACTTTTCTTCAACCAAGGCTCTCTTCTCCTTTCCGCCAACTTGCTCCAGAACATCCAGCATCTCGGTAACAGAAACCTTAATTCCAGGCAGGTTTACCGCTCTGGAGTCGCCGAACTTCTCCTTTGGAATGTCTTTGGCATAGATCATGTTTTCCACAACGACATATGGAGAGCATATCCAGAGCTCCGTGTCTTTCTTGACTGGAATAACGCTCTTCTCGCCCTTCAATGGCTCACGTATGATACCGGAAGCAAAGCTGCTTGCAGCTCCTGTGGGGGCACCAGCCCGGACAGTAACAGTAGGCAATCGAACAGATCTCCCATCAAGGAAGCCACGGCGTGAATAGTCATTCAGGAGTAGCTCAGTTGCAACTTTCGCCGTTGCGTAAGAAGATGTAGGGAGCGGTGGGATATTTCGTTCATTTATCTTGAATCCAGGGGGAGTAGGCCCATAGACAGCCAACGAAGATGCAAAGACAACCTTTACGCCTGGAATCACTTTTCGCAACCTTTCGAACATGTAATGTACCGAGAAGAAGTTGATCTTCATGCCCAGGTCAAAGTTGGCTTCTGAAGCACCGGACATGATGCCATGAAGAATGTAGACCGCATCATATTGGGATGGAGAGCTGATGAGCTCGTCAACAGCCGCCTGCGAAGTCAGATCTGCCTTGATGCTGGTAATGCGACTGGCATCTTCTGGTTTTGCTGAAGGTGGAACTGGAGGGGCCACGGTAACGTCTGTAAGTGTGAGACGAGTGTCAGGGCAGGCATTAAGAAGTCCCGTGGCCAACTCCTGCCCAACAAAGCCATTTGCCCCGGTGATAAGGATAGAGGGCATTGGCGTGGCTTTCTTCTTTAATGTGAATTCAATAGGTTGTGGTTAAGGGGTTGACTGGTAACGGGGTTAGGACGGCCCGCCTGGGTAGACCCAATAACTAATAGAAAAAAGTATAGGGGGTGATAAAAGCTGTGGTTGCGATTATCCAGCCCATATCAAAGGGGTGGGACGACCGCTATTTAAATCCCTCCCCTTGCCTGTTCTGCAGCACAGCCATGAAGATGCATCCATGCGGAGGGTCGTCAGAATAAGGAGTAACGCCGAACGGTCACCCAACCGAGTACCACGGCAACTGTACCGGATACTGTAACTGTCTCCAACAGCCTCTGAAACTGGCTCATGTTTCTATATTTCTTTCTTCTGTGCCGTTCAGATTCGCTGCTTCAAGTTGAGCTCCACGGCTGCTGGGCAAATCCTTGGTCACGTGTACCGGTATTACTCCGAGAGCGCTCTTCGTCGGTGGTAGGCCCGGACTGGGGCTGTGCGGCTAAAGACGAGTTCACGACGTGGCCGGAGGAGTTTATTATCGCCAGGCATAGGCTGTTATATCAATTTTGATCACTCTTCCGAGAGGTGGTTGTCGTTGAGGGGCCGGCAGTGCAAAATGGGTCACTATGGTGAACTACTCGCCTGCTGGATGCCAGGAAAGCAAAAAAATCAATCACGAGTGTTTCAGCATCATGTATGTCAGCGATGAAGTACCCAAGGGCACTAACCTTAAATCCCTAAACTAGCGTTTGGAGACAGAGTTAGGCTGTCGGGCCATTCTTCCGCCCTCTTCCACACGGAGATAAACAATCCCTTCTAAGCTGCAGCTAAAGGGAGCTTGCCGGCGAGGTGGAAAGATGCAATGCAACGTCTAGCCGGTAAGGCAGCTTTTCGCAGACACATCATCGTTGCGTAACTCGTGGGAGAGAAAGGCGTTCCACCATATCAAACCTTAAAGGTAAGATACCTGCGTAGTAGTCCAAGAAGAGGGCAAAAGGGAGGATCGAAGCTCTATCATGAATAGCAGACTAGTTGAACATGGGCCTAGAGGCGAAGAGTAGATGGGGAGACACAGAACAAAAGCAGCCCTATACATTTTTTGAGGAGGAAACAAACCACCACATGGCTATATCTGTGAAATAAACGGATCCATTCGTATTTCAATGAGAGCCCTGGAAGAAGACATAACACAGAACTCACTCAAAAGGGGAGAAACAAAAATAAAAAAATAAAACTCTCAAACGCCAATGATAGATGGAAAACCAAAAGAAGAAACACCTGAAAAATTCCCAGTTAAGTTGCTCGGTAGATACCAGCGACAATGCAATGGTCACGCTCGAAAGGTTCTAGAAAAAGGAGTCAGTTATATATTCGCATCAATAGGTGGCAATATCTTGATAAGAGTGGATACGCACCAAGTGTAAGCTGCTCCTTTGGTTTTATCTTCTCGTCTCTCATCTTTTGTACTTCTCTGGCAAACACAACCTCTGGTTTGGCGGTACTGTCAATACAGTTGGCTTTGACACTGACAATAACACCACCGCCAGTCTTCAAGAAGAGATGAGCGTTGAGGCCAACGATACGGGCCTGGTCAGGTTGGGCAACATCAGCAAAAATGACATCAACCATGCCAACCAGCATTCTGTAGCGGAGAGGGTGACGGGCATCCTCGACAATTGGAATAACGTTGGTGCGGTGAGTGGCCATGCCAATCAAATCACGACCAGACCGGTGGGAGAATTCCACAGCGTAAACGGTTCCGGTGGGCCCAACTATTTCAGCAACGTGACTGACGGAGGTACCGCTGGCGGCTCCGAGGTAGAGAACCTTTGACCCTGGCTTCATGTAGATGTCATCGAGACCACCGAGGATACCTGCAGCAAGCTTGCTTCTGAAGGGGTTCCAGACACGGTATTCAACTTTGGTAGCGGGCTCATCACCTGTGGAGGGTCCCTCGACAGATATGCGCTTCTCGCCGTACACAGATTCTCCAGGAGTGATGTTTTTGGTGACAAGGAGGTCCTCCTTTCCACCACGCGCAACGAACACGCCTCCGTGACGATGGGGTTCCTAGACGAATTACCATATCAGCTCAACCTGCCCGTCAAAAGTTATTAAAATAAATGCCACCCAGGACTTACCACAATGACCTTGGCACCACCACGGGCACCGGCCTTTCCACCACGTCCACCACGTCCAGCACCACGGCCCCTTGCGGCTCCTCGTCCACCTCCACGGCCGCCTCTGTCACCACCGCCGCGTCCGCCGAAGCCACCTATTTTAGTCAGTCACCCCGCTCTTTAGATCTGCAAATTGAAGGACAATGCAAAGCTAACAGTCCAAATGAATCTCTGCCGAAGCTTGAATTCAATTGTACCGCCATTGGCAGCTCTCGTGTAGGTACAAGGGATTTTACACACCGCGTCCACCACCGCGAGCACCGCCCCTTCCTCCTCGTCCTCCACGACCACCACGGTCACCACCACGTCCTCGAGGAGCTCCAAATGCCATTATACCAAGAAATCGAGTTTGGTCTTTTTGCGAATGAAGTATCGATTATTCTATTAACAGCCCGTCTCTGCGGAGTGGCTGGACCTGAATGCGATTTGATCTGGTATTGAGCGATAAACGGCGGGGTATATCTGTTGTAAAGGTCAAATAGGCCGCTTCCCCGGAGAGAAGAATATATCGACCTGCGAAATTATTTGAGACAGCCGACCGGCGATGTTTGAATCGAAGGATATTTATCCAAGGTCTTTAAAATTTGATTCTATTTTTTTTGCTTCTTCATTTTTTTTTTTTTCGCACGATGATTTTGCTAAGCTTCTAACCAAAAGCAGCTAGACTTGCTCTTCGATTATGTAACAAAATATCCCATCACGTGAATATCCACACGTGACTGTTAGGTGGCCCGAGCGCACATAATGGCTTATCTAAGCAGTGATTTCGGGTTATGGAGCGTCTCGACTTCCTTCACGGACAACAACAAAACAACACAAAACAACAGCTTAATTGATATTGCATGTGCCATAAAACCTAACGCCAATACTCCGGTTTTTTAACTATGTCCATACCTATGTACATATCTGCTGTTTTTCTCGTCCCATAAATACATGCAACAACCCTGTGCTAACTATGCAAGACTGCAAAATAAAGACGATGAGAAGAAAAGGGTATGATGAAGGAAACTGAAACTCAATACGTGGTAAAAGAAACAAACAAAAGAAATTCATAACATTAGCCACTTTTACTTCATCCATAAAACCAGTACTCGGCGGAATACTGGATTTGGATCTGTTCTGGCAGTCCAGCACAGGTTGGTGGTGCTTTGCCTCCAGCAGTGTTCACACGATATACCCTCTTTGCCTGTCCTTTGCTAGAAGGGGTCGATTCAAGCATCAGCCAGCTAACAGCGCCTTCTTGCTCATCCTTGACACCCTTCATAGCGTTGGATGGTGCATCCTTGGAGTCGACCTTCTTAACACCACATATACCGAGCTTTGGCAGGTCAAATGTTGGCACGCCTTCACCGTTGAAGTAGTGGTGACCCATCACCATTAGGTCTACTGGACCACGAGCGTTGGTGAATGGCGACGGGTTGGTGAGTTCGAGGGCAACGTTGGGGAGAAGCGAGAGTAGGTAAGGGTAATTGGATGCAATGCATGAGGCGTCAAACAACGTGGCAACTGCGCCGGTAGCTTTTGGTGCTTGGTCTGGGGATAAGCCAGCACAGGTATAATTCTGTCGCTTGGTTAGTACGGACTTGTCTATTGTTGTCGGTGATAGTCGGCGAAACGTACTTGAGTACCACGTCCCACCGCAACCGCAAGCAGCTTCTGGTCTGGGGGAACTTCTGATAGCTGTGGATTGCTTGGGAGCACAGCTTTGGAAAGGTCACAATTAGGCTGACGCGGGAAGCCTTGGTTGGCGTGTTTGGAAATATAGTCGCCAATTTCAGTGAGCCATTTGGCAGAACCCGGAGACCAGCCAGCTGGTGCAGCGTTCACTCCCGCAAATGCGATACAGGCAGAGAGAATTGTGGAAAAGCGCATGTTGGGCAAGTTGGTATGGTTGGCTTTTTTTCTTTCTTCGTTTTAATATTTTTTTTGGTAGTTTGGCAATGAAGGGACCGTTTCGTCAAGAAACAGTACAGTGATTTAAAACAAACAACGGATCAACCGAAGGGAAGAAATAAACGAGGAACAGCAGAAAATGAATTAAATAAACAAGAGAAAGAAAGAAAAGGAAAGGAAAAAGTCGGATATCGCAGACCAGATGCAATACCGTGAAGAGATGAGAGATAGAGCGAAGAAAATTGAAGCAGGACAATCGCCAGCAGAAGTCATCTTTATATACAGATCGCCTGGCAGGATTTCCCCTTTGAGCGATTCTTCAGAACATGCAGAGACTTCCATGCAGCCGCCCACCGAGACCCAAAAAAAGAACAACCCCAAACACCCAAACTCTCGCACAACCGCTCCCAGGGCGAAGATGAACGCTCAATGGCCGGAAGGCTCACGGATAAAAATAGCCGTGAGCAAGGGCCAATCAGTTGATGGTCGGTGCATGGCGGCTCGCAGGGATTGTCCCTGTGGCTATCTTTAGCCAGGGGCCCAACGACGAATACGATTGGCTGTGTGTAAGCGCCGAATGAATCGTAACCTTCAACTCAAACCATGCTCTGCAGCACCTCAGGCTCTTCCGCGGACATATCTCCTATTCAAAATCCACTCTTCAGATTCCAGAAATAGGTTCTCGCCATCGACTTCAACGTTCAGCATTTCAGTTTTGCTCTCAGGGTTGCAATGCACTGTGGTAGGCCACTTGACTCGTTCCTTATCTAGCTGTGAATCGCCACAGTTATCGTCCGTTAACTAGCTGGCTAGACTCAGCTAACCCCTTACAATTCTATACCCTGGAAATGGCATTGACTTCCCGCCAGTTATTTCCATTTCCAGACAGTGCCGCACCCTTGCTACCTATTTCCCTGCATTGAATGCCCCGTATGTCTTTGCAGCGTCCTAGCCAGTTCGAGAAATTAACCACTGTCCACCAAGGTTATACTGCCCTCCTGGAGACCCTGTAATTTATCTCTTTTAGGAATTATACTCCGTCAGGGGCGTCGGCTCGTACGCGAGACACTCACATGCATGCCACAGCATACAGCTATGCGTATGCATGAAATTCGCAGCAACATGCCCGTTGGCTTCCGCTGAGTTAGTTACCCGGGCTACCCGTCCGTCATGCGTGATTCTCAAACGTTGCCACATGTCCAAGCAACGAATATACGCCGTTGAAATAGGGTCATCACGTTCGAAACGATACGATATGCATGACATGGGTAAATCATAAGGCTATGGTTGGCGCGTACATAAGACAACGATCAACTCAGAGTAGATCATACATTGACTACATTGGCTAGCATACATCACTTGAATACTGGTAGACAGACTCTTCAACTATATCCAGGCAGAGGCGTGATGGCACCTGAAGGGGAAAATCTGAAGACCTAACGACGAGTACATATTGGTTAAAGAAGAATCAACTCCGTCTATACATAAAGAAATATCAAGCCTCACACAGACGGATACGAAAATCCCCGCGAAATAACTTATCAAACACATATGGTTTCAAAGAAAGACTAGTTAGCCAAGGGGGCCATCTTCCGCTCCGTTGAGATTTTGGCCCGTGCCATGGTCTAGCATGATGCCAGCATGCTTCTCGATCCCTGTAGTGCTCATAGAATACAGCATTATGATTAAGAAGATGTGCAAAGCAAAGCAGTATGCTGCGAATAGATTTCTGCTTGTCCTGTTGGCAAGCACCATCCTGGTAATTGAGAAAATGATCCGCTCTGGCACACTCATGCGCTTATATGCACGAGCAGACTCACGGCCTCTAAAGGCTGCGAACGGTGATATCTGAGCCTCGTACGCTGACTGGTATCTATCAAGTGACAGGCCAGATGGGGTATCAGGATCCACTTGGATTGCCGTCGCGTTCGGCCTGTTTGAATACGGTGTTGCAGTCGAGGAGGTCGATGCTTGACCCCTATTATATGTTGACACATACCGGGTCTTCTCGTAAAGACTAAGATTATCTTTCTGTAACGATGCGACTTCTGCCCGCAGAGATTTGACGATACCATATGTCTTTGAAAGCTCTTCTTCTAGCTCGCTGTTCTTCTGCTTGAAGCGATCACGCTGTGCTTGAACCATTGGAAGAATGCCAGAGCCACCCCCAACAGGCTCACCTGCCCGAATTGCTTCCATAGTGGTAGGAGACATGGAATTATCGAAGCCGGAGATAATGGAGGAGGTAGGGGATACCCGCCCTCTACGGGAGCCGTGAGGGTACCTTGATACATATGTTCCTGCTACTGACATGGCGGAGGAGTTGGTTGCTTCACGCTGGATGTGAAGAAGGTCATTCTCCAGTTTAGTAGCCAACTTCCTTGATTTTTCTAATTCCGAATTGGTTCGTGAGAGTTCTTCTCGAAGGGCTCCTAGTTGGCCTTCTAGGTCTTGATGAGATACTCGCAAGATCGTGAGCTCATTGGATAGTTTCTTGTTGCGTGCAAGAAGCAATTGTTCTAAGTTATTCTCCTTGGAGTTTGATGGTTTGGAATCGTCAACAGAGGTATCAGGTTCATCATCTCCAGTTGAAAATTCAATGGACTACCACAGTTAGTAAAGGAATTAGTATCTAGACTAGATGAAAGCATACCTTTATGACCTCCAACTCGCGCTTGATATCATCATAATCTGCAAATTTAGTAAGCTTTTCACGAAGTTCATCTCGCTCTCGCGTAATCTTGGAGCTAGTTCGTTCGCACTGGCGGAGTTTTCCTTCCCAGGTATTTTTCTCTGCATCCTTATCAAATCGAGCAGCCTCAAGCTTCCGCATTAACGAAGAATTCTCAGTTTGCAATCGCAGGTATTGGGGATCTTCCTCCACGGGGCGGGAGCTTTGTTCAGATTGACTCTGAGAAACTGCTTGGGCAAGCTCGAGACTAAGTTGCTCATTGCGAGCCTCCACTTCGGCTAGACGGATGCTGGTTCTCTCTAAATCTGAAGCGACTATTTCGAGCTCAGCTGCTGTTGCCGCACTGCGCGTGTCACCTTCAGTATTCTCGCTGCGGTCCAGCCGCTGCGAGACTTCGTAGCTCGCTTTAAGCTCTTTAAGCAAACGGTCATGGTTTTCAGTCTTTTCTTCGAATGCCTTCTCCTTTGCTTCCCAGTTGCTCGTCTTTTCCGCCAATGCAGCTTTCCAAGAGGCTTCAACTTCCTGGATCTTCTTATCCTGGTTTTCTTCTAGTTTTAGTCGTGTAGCACGTTCTTCAGCTAGTCGTTTCTCGGTCTCCTCGAGCTGATATGTTAGACGGTTGACACTGTTCTGCAAAAAGTCCTTCTCAGCATTCAACTTGGGGACGGTATCTTCGGATAGAACTAGAGAGTCGATCGAGGCTTCGAGAAGCGGATAAGGGTCCGGAGCTTCAGATAACGCAGTAT